GCGTGTTCGCGCATTTCTTGAATGCACCCTTTCTTGCGTGTGAGCGTTGCTAGCCTCGAGACCACCTTCTCGCGTGTCCTTGCGCATACCCGTTCCTTCACACGAGACATCCATCGACTACCTCATGTTCGTGTGTACTCGTGCCGTTTCTCATGTGCTTAAGTCCCACGTATACGAGCTCGTTCCTGTCGTTTAGGCCATGCATGCGCCATTTTGGCCTTATTTGGAGCATCTTCGGGTCGTCTTGGCTCTTGGACCTTCTCCTCGTCGGGGCTCGAAACCCACTTCCGCATCATTCCCGCCCCCTTTGAGAATGTCATTGTCCTCAAGGACTCATCTTTGACCATCCAAATCTCGGGCACATCTTCTTCGACCACGTGCACATCCCACTCATCGTCCTCATCGACCTCGCCCTCGCTCTCGACCTCGAACACCTCTTCATCCTTTACGACCATTTGTCTCCTTCGGTCTTGACTTCTTCGAACTCGACCGAGGCCTCACCCTCGACATCGCCTGTCGCCTCCTCTTTATCTTCGCCCAAGATCGTCTCCTTGCATCGCTCTTCGTCCACCGTGTTGCTCGAGGGTCTTGCGCCATTCTTAACCCAAGCATAGACCTTCGTCTTGTCGTCGTAACAACTCCTCCGTGATCTTGGCTTGTCGTGCGTACTTCTCTCCTAAATCCCTTCGCTCGTGAAGCTCCTCCAAATAACTTTGCTCCCACGGGGTTAATTCTCTTTCCAACCCCTCCAACATTACAAGATCTTCCCAATCCAACTCATCTAGTGGTAAGAAGGGCATCTCTCTCTTTTTTTTTGTGACTCTCGAAAAAAGAAGAAAAAAGAACGAAAATCGAACAAAAATTCAAACCAAAAAGAAGAAAATTTCGGCCTTCAGCAAAAGAAAACCGAAAAAAAGAAAAAGATAGCTAGACAAAAACTTTGATCGGACTCTCTCAATGAAATCCTCTTAATGAAAGCACCAATGATGAGGGGTCGAGATCGCGGTTCTTGTCTATTTGTTGTGAGTAATCGCGCACTCAGGGCCTTCGACTACACACGATAGGTGTGACTAACAGACGCACTCAAGGCCTTCTCTTAGACACTGTGACTTCAAGACGCTCGAAGGGCCTTCTCTCTGACACGATAGTATGATAAACACGCACTACGGTCTTGCTTATACACACGTAGAACACAATGTTCCCCTTTTATATTCACTCATTGGAACGCCCCGTTCGTTTATGAATAAATTAGATTATTTTATTATTATTATTATTATTATTATTATTATTATTATTATTATTATTATTATTATTATTATTATTATTATTATTTGTGCTAATTGCCTAAATGTTATTTGTGTGTATTATGTATGATTATTATATATTAATAATTATTGTGTATTATATATATAAATGTAAATATTTATGTTCCGGTTTTATTTTAATTTACCGTGCGATTAAACCGAACCCAAAATATCGTAAGTGTCGAACCGAATAAATCCGGCCCATGAGCCGTGAACCACATCCGAGCTGGCCATGTAACAGTAACCGTTTCTATTTTTTTCAAAATCATGATGGGCCATTTAAATTATGAGTTAAAGAACTAATTATATTGCAATTATGGTGATATAATTATCCTTTAAGTCCCTCACCCATTACGTTTGTTTTTTTTTTTTAAAAAAGGGTAAAAGTCTTTTTCTCTCCTCTTTAACCGGCGCTCATCATCTTTCATTTCAATTGGAAAATTTTCAGAAATTCATACATCTCTCTCTTGACAATAGCACCACAGAAAGAACGAGAAAATTTTATCATCTCATCACAAAAATTCTCAACTCTCCATCTCTCGTATTCATCACCCTCTCTCTATCAAAATCATCATCATCTCTCAAACTGGTCGCATGTCATCACCCCGAGAGTAAGCACCGAGTTCCAATCGTCATCACCAATCCAGCGAACCTCCTTCGTCACAACCTTACAGCGATCAGCAGCTTCCGTCGGGTCCCGTCAGCTGTTGCTCTTCCGCCGGCGAGCCCAAGCGAGAGCGGTCGAGTCGTTCTTGTCTAAATCGCTGTCCCGTTGTTTGACCCATTTCCGGTTCGATAACTCGTAGTTTTCCGAAGTCGGGTAACTTATTCGAATCTTCTCGTTATTACGGTTGTTTTCATATATCGCATGATAGATAAGAATATCATATGTTCTACCGAAACTTTGTTTTGGATTCGGATGATTTGTTGATTCATATGCTTATATATATATTTCGCATATTCGTGGATTTTCGGGGATTATTGGACTTCTTGGTTACGTAAAAATGAGTATCGTTATGTTGTTGTGAGGAATACGTTTAATTTCGGAGTTCCATTTTGTTCTTCGGAGTCTCGTTGTATTATTTCGAGTCTTGAATGTCGTTTTGTTTATTCGTCCGAAAACTTGATTTTTATAAACTTTTCTCAAAGTTTGAGTTGTGTTATATTTTGTTGTATGAAATTGTGAAGTTTTGGACTCGATCCCCGTCAAATTTTGGTCCCAATATTCAGCCCCTGTTTTACCTTTATGTTCGATGTTTCTGTTTGTTTTCCCAAGTTTCTGTGCAAGGATGACAGATTCTCTTTTGTGTTCAACATAAAATAATTTCATCTAAAGTCACAAGCTGTCGTATAGCCCAGTGGTCTGTGCCTTCAGTGGTGTGAAGGAGGTCCTGAGTTCGAATCTCCCTCCCAGCAACATTTTATTTTTTTTCACCCAGTGTAGCTGTGGTTAAGTGCGCGGGCCGAATGGCCCGAAGTCAGCCCGTGCAGCCCGGTTGCCTCACAGCCATCAGCCCGCAGACCCCGCGGTGCTCCCAAGCCTTGTTGCAGGCTTATTTGCGGCCCAATTGTCGGCCCAATGGTGCATAAGTCTAATGTTACTTGGCAGCCTTTGAGCCCAGTTGCCAGCCCGGCCCAATTGATTTTTTTTTTTAGCCCTATTTTGAGTTTCAGAAGCCTGTTTTTAATACCGATTTCAATTCTAAAAAAAAAATATATATATATATATTTTCAAAGTAGAAAAATTTGGAAAAAAATATTTTTAAGTCCCGAGACTCCAAATTAATTTTTCCGGGTCCTATTTTGCAAAAATGAGAGAGTTCCAAGTCCACGAAAAATCCGATTAAAACCCTTAAGACTTAATTTTTATTAAGTTTGGGTTTTATGTTAATTCGAGTAGTGAGATAGATTATTGATATATTATCTCGCTTAAATGTAGGTGTTTGAGGAGTCGAGCCCTCATCCTACGTACTGTGATTGTGTGTTATTTTCTACCGAGCTATCCAGGTGGGTTCTAATCTAAAATTGTCTATGCCATGAATGATGAATGTTTATACTTGTGGGTATGATCTATGTATGAATATGAAATATGTAGCCTATCGATATGATCTAAGTCCTGATATGGCCGTACCCTTGCGAGGTACGTAAGCCATATGGAAGGCCGTGTCCGTAGCATGGCATGTACTCCCGCCTTTGGGTAATGAATCCCCGTTCTGCGGCTAGCGTGCACAGGTGTAATGTGGTTGTTATGATTTTGATAGGAGATGAGACATGATGTGATTATCTTATATTCATGCTGCGACCATACCATTTGACATGTGTTATTTGTGTTCATAGTAGTGAGCACTATTTTCATCTTGTGCTCACTCCCACCTGCTCTTCACGGATGCAGGTTAAGCAGGTGCCGGATGACGGGGAAAAGACGAGTGGGTTGGTCATGATAATTAGGTTTATGATTTCACTTCCTTTATGAATAAAGTGTGGTCTTTGAGACATGTTGAACTGTTTTTGAACTTGTCCGTGTCGGGATGTTTGGACCTTTTGTTTGATACTCGTATGAGAGTTATTAATTGATTATCATGTGGTTTCGATTATGCATGCTATGTGATTTAACTAATAATCAGGTGGAATTGAATTTTGAAAGGTTAATGAAAACCATGTGAACAACCAGATACGACTTGGTTGATGTTAAATGTTGTATAACACCCATGTTTTCGAAAGTAAGTAAAAATTTTATACTGGTTTTTTGGAAAATCCGGATTTTCTGTAAAATCAAAGTGGGGTGTTACACTCATCAATTCCAAGACATAAAAAACAATGAGGGATGATCTCTCTTTATAGATCCTAACTAGCTCTAATCCTACTCCAACTAGATCTCTAATTAAAGCAACAAAATATTAAATCCTAAACATATTAGATATTCTAAAGCAATAAGGAAACTAAATAACTAGGGGATCCCGTGTCTTGACTTGCACTCCAAGTAGGGAAGAATAATTTAGAGAAGTTTCAGCTCAAACGACTCCTAGAAGACTCCTTTTCTTGCTGCCCAAGTCACCCCCGTGCGCGCTGCTGCCCTGTGCGCGCGTGCGTACCTGCGCACGTGCCTGCGCGCGTACCTGCGCGCGCCCGAACTACGCGTGGGCTGCCTACGCGCGCACCCATCTGCGC